TAGTATAACTGCCTTAAATTCATTCAGTCACTACAAACAAGGAAATCCTGAGACCATGACTACTCACCGGCTTTCTCCTTATGAGTATCCTTTTATTCATGTCATCATAAGCAAAGTCACACCAAGTCCAGACAATCCCAGGAAAACCTGGTTTTGCCAGTTCTACTCTACCTCTGACCTATCCTCTGTAGAGCCTGCCTGGAGGGTGGGGTGAAAAGGCAGCCTGGGGGTTTCAGATCCAGGTGAACTGAGCAAGACTTGTTCATTAATTTGCCCACAGTACTCCTTAGGATAGAGGACAATGGTGACATAGATGGAGAAAAGGTTTGTGTCTTGCATCCTTTTCTGTGTGTGTCACTGTGAGTCTTGTTGCTATACCACACCTGACAGTAATAGTCAGTCGTTTCCCCAGCTTGGGCCCCACTTTTGGTCAAGGTGGTTATGTTCCCAACTTGGAGGCAGAAAATTTCTCAGGTATACTTGATTACAGCCTTTAATCTCTGTAGATGTGCAACACAGAGACCTGAAATGGCTTCTGATGGCACCAGTGAGCATTCTTACTTCCAGTATTGTTTCATGCACAGATGATCCTGGCTCTCTGTCTCAAAGACACTGACACAGAGGGTGGCTGAGTCAGCTGGCAGGAGAAAATGAAGTCAGACAGAATACAAATTAATAAGAAAATACTTGGAGTTGGATATCTAATTTCCAAAATTCCTTTGCACCTGCCTTCCCTGGAACCAATCAAGTGATGAAAGGACCTTCAGGACACCCTTTGTGGTAGGGAGGTTTAGCCCCAACAGCCCCTCGTCCTGTGGCAGGTTCATAAGCATCCTGCTCACCCAGGCAGACCCCTGTTGAGGTCAGTCTCAGGGGCATGCTTATCCCAACACCTTGGGCCTGAGAAGGTTGGTGGGACCCTGGAACAGCACCTATAGAGTGAGCAAAGAGGCCAAGGAGAAGAGGGATTAAGGCCATTGTGAAGGTATTCCAGATGCTGCTTCCCAAGACCCAGACTGGGCAGAGTTTCCCCAGGCCTTTTTTATCCCCTGGCCTGGGAGAGCTGTCCAGGGTGCAGATCAGCCAGAGTCAGGGGCTGCTGCTGGAGATTTGTGGTTTCCAGACAAGGGTCAGTCTCAAAGAACCAGAGGAGAAAAGGGGGCTTGCAGACCCACCCTCAGCCCATAGGTTCTCCTTCACTGCTAATATTATTGTCTGGGTTCATACCTAGACCCTACACTGTGTTCTGACCTTACTCTGAGCTCACAAGGTCATGCAGAGTTCAGAGGTGGGTCTGTGTACATCATGACTTTATTCTACAGGTAAGAACACAAGGCTATCACAGGTGCAAGGTCCTTCCCCAGATCACAACTCCAGCCCAGATTTCTCCTTTTTATGTATACATGGACCATTTAAGGAGTCTCTGAGTTGTCCAGTCCAGATTCCTCCCTTTGATGGACAGCCCAGTCCAGATTCCTCCTTTTGATGTATACATGGAGCATTTAAGGAGCCTCTGAGTTGCTAACAGGTTTTGCCTTTTGTGTGACTTCTCAAGCAAGTGCTGACTTTGTGTCTTCGTATCCTCTGTGTGTCCTAAAGTTCAACTACAGATCCAGGACTTGAGAAATAATTGGCGGTCCAGAGGTTTAGCCTCCTGGAATCTGTGGGTAAAGAAGAAATGAAGTACCTATACCTCTCCTGGGGAAATACGGGGACTATGCTGCAGCCTGATGTGTGAGACAAGGAGCAGAATTTGTGCATTAGTGTCAACGATTATGCAGCAGGAAGAGAAATACTTCTTTCCTTCCAGGTCTCAGGATATGGACACTGACTTTTCCTGCATATTAGCATCTCCCTGAACTCCAGGCCCACACCATCCCCAGGTGCCTCTCCCAGGTGACTCTACAGTTCCTGGTGGCTGCTCCATATTGGCTGCTGGAGGCTCAGGAGCCTCCTTTGTCCAGGTGTGGATTCAGAATCTGCTTGTTAGGTCCTGATTCCCAGATCCATGCCCCTCCCTGCCGCATGACCAGGCTCGGGTAGCTCAGTTGCCAGTGGGAAAGCAGACAGGATCCACCTGAGGCCTCCCTGTACCTGTCTCCGAGATAGAGGACATGGCGGTGGCAAAATGGCTTGGAACTGGTTGCCACAGACTCAGGGACTTGCTGTTACTGATGCTGGGTGTGAATGCAGGGTCAGTAAACTGGTGGTGGCCACTGAACCAAACAGACACAAGAATCCATCCACCCAACAAACTTTGATCTGATATCTTCTGGTTTTGCCCACATCTAGTCTTAGGAATTCAGCCTGAACAAGACACACCCTGCATGAAGTCAGCTTCTCATCATGTGCATCTGGTGTGCAGTAGACACACTGGTTTGGCAGAAGAGCACACAATTTCACCACCTCCCACCTTAGAATTGTTTTCCAAGGTAATATAAAAGACAGGTGCCTGCCTTTCCCAGGTCCCTCTCACAGGATTAACCCTATGACCCAGCGCTAGCCAATGGGATAAGTGTCCATCAGTTGAGATTGTTCTCAGGGAACTTCTCATCTTGTGAAGACTAGAATCAGATTATATGTGTGCTGCATTTTTCCTCCTGAATGTGGACGTGATGGCTGGAGCAGCATTCACCTTCCTTAAGTCTTATGTCAACAAGAATGAAAACAAAGTCAACATGATAGAGATGGTAAAACAGAGAGTTAGGAAGATCCAGGAGCCTTCATTTATTGGGGAGTCTCTAGGAAACCATAAGTGTCTTACCTTTAATTTGCTTTTACTGCTGACCGTTTGTGCCCTAGATTTATTTGTGAATTATGCAGTTAAAAAAAAATCTGATCAATTAAGAAAATAATTAACACAAGTAAATCACTTAACACTAATGATAAGGACGGAACTCTACAGTGGTAAATGCTATGCAGATACTTAATAAATAATGTGGACAGCTCAAGGAAGGTAGTTCATGGTAATGATATCCCAGGGGATTCCACCATGGAGAAGTAACTCTGGAACCCCTCTATGGACAGAGAGAAGGAATGTGGGGAGGGGTCATGAGTGGGAGGACCTGAGGGACAGTGGCAACCTGAAGTAGGTCTGGAATTCACACTCGACTCGTCCACCGTGTTATTTAAATTAATGAAGAATATTGAGGGCCCTGGTGACATGTAGTCAGATGTGATAAAAAGGAATTTCAGGGCAATTTTCATGTTCTTTATAGCAGCGGATCACATATAGAGATCTCCAGGATGGTGCTTCAGGGCAGAGACAGGTAAAACCAGGTGTATCCTGCCCACCACCTTTCCCCTTTCTAGTTCACCTGCAACTGAAGACTCTTGGGGGAGCAAGTACGCAGTCCTCCCCCCACCCTGTGTCCACCTAGAAGCCTTGTGGGGACCCACAATGCTGCCTGTGCCTCTGGTCCCATGGGGGCTGCCAGCACTGCTTTCTTGGAAATTCTAGGGTTCTGTGGTCCATGAGCACAGAACTTAAAAAGTGCACTTGACAAGAAGGGAAGGATTTTAGAGAGATAGCGACAATGTCAAGGTCATTCGGGAAGGAAGAGAGAAAATGGGAACCAGGAGAGTTCTTAGACCCAAAATAACAGCCTCCTAAGTGTGCATTGAGACCATCCTGGACTAGGGGATGACCTCTGGGAAAATCCTCAGCCAAATTTCAGAGGCCCTGCTGGAAAAACCTCTCCCCATGTTTCTTTCAGTTGCCATGGGGTGGACTGCTGGACTCAACAGGGAGTGGGTTAGCCCCTGGGAGGACAGCCAACTCTCTGCCCTATATGGGCTAATCAGAAACCCCAAGAATTAAAACTCTTAGATGAGAAGAAACCAGACCTACTTTTCAGTCTTTATCTCTGCAATGATCCTTGAATTATCACTTAAATCTTGTGGATCTGTTGCATAAACTACCATGTATCTGCAGGTCAAGTTCCCATTACTAGGATATGTAAATTGTATGTCCAAGAACCAAATTTGTCAATTCTATTTTGGGCATTGAATGACAATATTTTTTTTTCCTTTGTGACTCCCTTCCCTGAAAATAAGACATCTGTTTTTATGCCAAAATGAAGTTCTCCTATCTAAAGAAAGCTCCAATTTTCCTTTCTGGAAAATTCTACTCCAGACATTTAAAAATTATTCAAGAAATATAAAAATAAAGTTTTTAAGCCATAAATCATAAATACCTGAGAAATGCAGCCTAAGGCACAGTTTTATTCTGCATTTTATAGAGAGATTTTCTTAAGAAGGGATATACACAGGGGTTAAGAATTACCTCATGAGGCCCATGGTCCTACACATGTGCTGGTTTCTTCATCTTTCATATTCCTGAGTTGGCCTAAAAAGTGTTATTGTTGAAACTAAAAATAAGGAATGAAATTTATTTTTTGGATGATAAGCCAGAGCTTATGTTTGTGCCTCACTGGGTGTAATTCTTCTAGGCATAGGATGTGCATGGACATGTCTACTCTCGTATGAAACCCAGATGGGGTCTGTCCCTGGTCACACCTAGGAGCTGCATGGACATGGCTTCTCACATGCAGAAGAATAACTCTTGTCCTCAGACATTGACAGCTGGTCTGTCCAGATCTGGACTTCTTATCCTGAGGAAACAATCCTGCTAGTCTCCAATCCTTCTTCTCACGACTGAGTTCTCAGAGACAGAAGTTTAGAGGACAGGACCTTCAGTAACACTTTGTGTGGAAATGGAAGGAAAAGGCTGTCCCTAGTGCAGGAACCAAGGTCTCATCTCCCACCCCTTGGTCCTGTGCATTGATCTCTTCAGGGACCTTGATTATAGTCACAAGATATGTGGATTTAAGATTCAAATGGGAACCTGGCATGCTTTTCCTGTTGCTTTGGCTATAGGAGAAACCTTCAGAGTGAGCTGAGACCAAGGTCAATCTCATTGCCCAGAGGGTGTGAGAGTGAGACCAGGCTGGGGTGGGGAGGTTCTTGTCCCACTTCCCCACATGTCTGTGTCACTTGGGTTAATGAAAGTTGGTTTCACTACCATCAGAGGTGGCACAGTAATTGTCAGCCTCATCCCTGGCTTGGGCTCTACTGATAGTCAGGGTAGCCGTATTTCCCGAGTTGGAGCCAGAGAATCTCTCAGGGATCCCTGAGGGCCGGTCTCTATCACTGTAGATGACCAGCACAGGGGCCTGACCTGGTCTCTGCTGGTACCAGTAGGCATATTTATTTCCCAATTTATCTCTAGAGCAGGTGATCCTGGCCATCTGTCGCAAGGCCACTGATACTGAAGATGGCTGAGTTACTACATAGAAGGCCACGGTGCCTGCAGGGAGAAAAAAAGGGAGGTAGGGGATAAGGGATCTTCCCCAGGAGATAACTTGCCTCTTTCTGTGGATGAACTCCCCCACCCAATAATGGTTTGGATGATCTGCATGGATTCCCTAGGAAAATCCCCTTCAGTGAACCTCAGCCTCAGTGACTCACAGATTACTGGTTATGGGGCCTTTGAACAAACTAGAACACAGCTGCTCTCTCCTAGCGTGTGCAGTCCCTCAGGTTCCCAAATCCAGTGAGTACCAAGTGGGGGAATATCAGCCCCAGCATTCTCTCTTCCGGCAGCTGGTTCATGAGCATCCTGCCCATCACAGGCAGGACCCTGTTGAGATCAGAATCAGGGCCAATTTTGTCCCTGAACCCCAGAACTGGCCAGGTGGGTGGAACCCTTTGATAGTACCTGTGTAGTGAGCCAGGAGGCCAAGGAGGAGAGGGATGTTCACCTGTTTCTGCTTCCTGTGTCCCAGGCTGAACAGGTCCCCCCAGCCTCTCTTATCCCCTGGCTCAAGAAAGCTGCCTGGGATGCAAATCAGCCTGACCTAGGGGCTGCTGCTGAAGGAGCTTTGTGGTTTCCAGAGAAGGGCTCAGTCCCAAGGGACCCAAGGAGAGGAGGGGCAGCCATGCAGACTCATCTAGGCCCATGGATTATCTTTCATCTGCTCATTTTACAGTTTGTGTGGACACTTTTACCTCACACTATAACCTCACCTATACCTGAGCTGACCTAGAAATGCCAACTCAGAGGTGGGTCTGTTTGCATTTTTTTGATGCCATTCTACAGGTGACGTCAATAGGCTTTGCCATGTGTGGGTTCTGCCCCAGATCAAGAAAGCTGTAGAGTCAGAAAAAATTTATCCCCTGCAAAATGCACACATAATATTTTAAATGCCCTAAAAGGTGTGAAAATGATCTTTCCTTGATTTGAGCTCATTCTGCAGAGTGTAGATTCTGTCCTTCAATGTACTCAGTATGCAACCAGGGCAGGTTACAGATTCTATCTTGAAGAAATGTCTGACATTGACTGAGTTTTAGCACCAATGGCTTAGCAAGTGGCAAGTGAAGTGCTTGAACATGTGGCAGACAAACAGGAAAATTCTACCAAAGCTACATTGGAGATGACATGGAAAGGGAATTTGTCTATCAGCACCAAAGATGATGCTCTAGAAAAAAAGAACGCTTTTTTCTCCAGGCCTCAGGTCGTGGTCACTGATCCTCCCAGCATGTCAGTATCCTCCTGAGGCCCAGGCCTATCCCAGCCCTTAGAGGCTTTGCCAGGTGGCTCTCTGTTGCCCCTGGTGGCCTTTTCGCACTGGCTGCAGGAGGCTCAGGGGTCTCCGTGGTCCAGGGGTGAATTCAAAACCTGCAGCTCAACTCCCTGGTTCCCTGATTCAAGGATTTCTGGCCCCAGAGGAGGAACCCCTTTTTTCTGTGTGACCCCTGCCTGCCACACAGCCACACATGAAGGGCTCAGTTCCCATGAAAATATGAGCACACTCAATTGGAAGCAAAAGGGCAGAGCCAATGTGAGGCAACCCTGCACCTGTCTCTGGATGGTTGATCGTGAGGATGACCAGGATTTGGAACAGAGGATCATGGAGCTAAGGAATTGCGTGTCACTGATGCTGGCTGTGGGTGTAAGGCCAACATATGTCAGTTGCTACTGCACTAAACGGAGACAGGAACATCCAGCCAGTTAATACTTATTCAGACTCACTCTGGTTTTGCCTTTATTTCCTCCTGGGAATTCAGTGTGAACATGACATAGTCATGCCCTCAAAGTTTTCCCATCCTTTGGTCAGGCAGTGCAATAGGTAACTGGATCTTCACCACCATATCCCAGTGCTGTGTCTTCTATTTCAAAAATCTGATACTTATTTTCCCAGGTCCCTCTCAAGCAGGACTAACCGTGTGGCCCAGAGCTTGTTCATGGGACACAAGTGTCAGTTGGCTGAAGATCTTCTCAGCGAAATTTTCTTTTTGTGGAAAAAAGGAAAAAGATTGGATGTGTGCTGCATCCTTCTTCTTGAATACAGTTGTGATGGCTGGAGCTGAAGCAGCTATCCTGAGATCTTAGATCAACAAGGATGAAAGCTAATCCAATATCATTGGGATAATGTAACAGAGAGTTTGTTTTGTTTTGTTTTTCTTTTCTTTTTCTTTTTTCTTTTTCTTTTTTTTGGAGTTGGAGTCTCACTCTGTCGCCCAGACTGGAGTGCAGTGGCTGCTCTTGGCCACTGCAGCCTCGACCTG